CTAAACTAATTGTTTCATGACAAATTGCTTAAGTTCAAGTTTTGACTAAAGAACCCCAAAACAAATTAGTTAGTTTGTTATGTTGGTTGTTGAAATTGAAAACAGTTGTTAAAGTGAAGTCTATATGTGGAAAGAACCCAGTTAGGATTATGAATCACCACAATCATAAACCACCTTAATTCATAAAGCATAGAAAAACAACAACAAAGCATATATGGTGTTAAGATGAGAAAATGCACTTCGTTTAGGCCCCTTCTCCACTGCTAAAAACGTAAAACCAAAAGAATAAAAAAGAAAGCTCAAACAAACTAAAAACTAAACTTACGTGAAGTATGAAGTCCTAGAGCCGAGTAGTAAAAGACTAGTAGGAAGCATCTGCGGAGTATGCAAATTAGAGACGGTGGGCCGCGGGAATACGGAATGGTGTCGCACGGCGGAGGATTCCGACGGCGTGATCGACTCGGCACTCGGCGATGGATTAGTGCGGCGCGACCGAATAGATTCTAGAGCGCCGATGGGGATAAGTTACCTCTATGGGCCTATATACTATTTATAAAAAGGCATTAGGTAAAAATGAGTTTTATGAGCAATTGTGATTGTATGTATTCATTCATTTTTTTTAGGATAATCTTTGGAGAGGGTTGATGTTTTCTTACATCCGATTTTCACACATGAACAACTTTACGTTGCGTTTTCAAGAGTTACATCCCTATCTGGATTGAAGTTTATTATATGTGATGGTGAAGCCAAATCGACAAAGAAGACTTTAAACGTTGTCTATTAGGAAGTATATAATAATTTGTAATTTTTTATTGGTGACAACTTCGATACACTTTTAAAAAGTGGGGTACCGTATCTACCATGCATTTGATTGGTCTAAATCATTCTATTCCTTTTAATTTAGATTTAATTAATTCAACTGCATCATTCCTATTGGTCTATGTGGACAAAGGTATGATACCTTAATGGTACCATAGAATCTACCTTTTTTATTTTCATTTACTTTTGTTAAAAATAATATATGCATTATTCTATCTTTATCACAACATTTCTATATATTTGCAAACAATTTATTGTTAACTAACTACTTCCCGTGTGAAGCATGGGTGAAAAATCTACTCCCTCAGTCCCATTTTGTAAGACACTTTTCCTATTCACTTGGTTAACACAAATCACTCTTAATCTCTTACTTTATATATCGAATTTTTATCAAATTTGATTCTGGTTTTTGCGACTTTGTAAAGCTTTCAATGTAGTTTCCGAATATGTAATTCTTTTTTCTAAAAAAAATTTGAGTGCAAGTAGGGATCCGTTTGCTTCATCGTTGATCAAACAACGTAAACCGTGAAGTGCTTTACAATTCGGGACGAAGGGAGTAGTTATTAAGAAAAGTAACTTTATTTGATTGATATTAAATTTATAAAGTAAAAATAAAGTAATAATGATTTAGAATCACATAAATTTTATCAAATTTAGTATTTTATAATCTTAGTGGGATGGATCGAAAATGAAAAATGGGACAATTTTAGCGAGATGGTGGGAATATGTAGTAATATACTCCATATGTACTATAAAATCATTTGATCTTGCGCCACATTCTTTACAACTTTTAAACTGATGAGATGCAAATATCTGATTTTTAAACAACAACAACAACATCCAAGCCTTAGTCCCAAAAGATATTGGGGTCGGCTAACATGAATCGATACATGATATCACCACCAAAAGGAAAAGAAAGAAATTGACGATAAAAAATAAAATTTTATAAAAAAGATAATATAAAACGAGATGAATATACCTAAAAATGATTAAAAAAAGAATAAAAATAATGTTTTATATACATAAGGATAAAAGATTAAAAAAACAAGATGAAAAAAGATGAGGGCAAATAATAATACGAGATCACTCCCCCACACAAATACCCGCTCTCCACTTTGCTCTCTCCAAAGCCATACCCCCATCCAACCCAAGAAGAAGCATATCACTTCGGACTCCCCTAATCCACGTCTGTTTGGGTCTTCTTCTTCTCCTCCCTGCCTCTTCTCCACACATCTCAACACGTCTAACAGGTGCATCACTCGGTCTTCTACGCACATGACCAAACCACCGTAGGCGAGACTCCCGCATCTTGTATTCAATAGGTGTTAATCCCACCCTTTGTCTGATTGTCTCATTTCTCATGTGATCCTTCCTAGTTCCTAGTATGCCCACACATCCAATGCAGCATGCGCATCTCTACCACACTCATCTTTTGAATGTGACATTGTTTCACCGCCCAACACTCTACGCTATACAGCAATGCAGGCCTGATTGATGTCCTATAAAATTTACCCTTCAGTCTAGTCAGCATACCTCTATCACATAGACATCTGGACGCACTCTTCCACTTCATCCACCATGTTCTGATTCTATAAGATACATCTCCATCTAGGTCACCGTCCTTCTGAATTATGGAGCCCAAGTAACGGAACATATCACTGACTGAGTGACCGGTATCTCCTTACCATCTAGAGTAATTCCATTATTACCACTGCTTCTACCTCCGCCAAACTTGCATTCCATGTAGGTCTGGACTCGGGCCGGGCGCCCGCCTCGGAACTGGTCCGAACCGATTACTGTTTGAACTGGCCCGAATTGTCGGTCCGGGTAGGCCCGACCCGCTGGGGTTCCGGTCCGGGATCGGGCCCCTCAAAATGTGAACCGGCCCCGGCCAGTTTGAGCCCGGTCCGGGCCAATTTTTTTTTTAATTGTTTTTTTTTTTTTGAATTTTTTTAAGTTTTTGAGTTGGGCTGGGTATTTTGGGCCATTTGAGGTGGTTTGGGGGTGAGGGGGGAGGGTTGGGGGTTAATTAGGAAAAGCCAAAAAAAAATTGAACCGAGGCCCGACCCAGACCCGGGGGTTACCCGGGCCGGTTCCGGGCCTCCCCTTTCATGAACCGAGGCCCGACCGGGCCCAGGCCCGAGTCCACCCCTAATTCCATGTACTCTGTCTTGCTCCGACTTAGTCTGAAACCCTTGTTCTCCAAAGTTTGTCGCCATACTTCCAACTTTGCTTTAAGACCTGATTGTGTCTCATCAATCAATACAATAACGTCGGCAAACATCTGATTTTTAAAATGGAATCCAAATTCCAACACTGCCCAAAATATGGGATGCAAAGTCAAATTCCTCCTTTTATATAATAAGTCCAACCAAAGAATCATTTTATTTATGTACACTACATATTCTTCTATTTCGAAGTGTTTTCTAAAACAGTACTCCGTATTAAATAAAAACAATATTTATGAAATTAGAATTGGGTTGAAACAAAATACTACTCCAATGAACCATATAGTTAGTTGAATCATTTTATTTATGTACACTACATATTCTTTTATTTCTAAGTTTTTTCTCCTAAAATGACGCCGGGAAGCTAGGAGGTTCACGGACTTAATGGGATATTTTTTAATTCGACTTAACTGACTTTTTAGTATACTTCTAGAGTCGATTTAACAATTTTTCCTTGATATTATTATTATACTCCCGATCTCTTCAAACTTTGTTAACTTTGACATATATAGAGAATAGCAAATTCAAAATTGTGTGGTTAAGAGTTATATAAGTATGAGAAATAAGATGAACCACAAATTTATTGATTAAAATTGAAAGTCAAAAAGTTTTTATAACAAGTCAAAATGAAAGATCCTCGGTCTTTCCTAGGGCTTATTGCCGCTGGGGTTCGATTTCCGTTTTCGTTTATTAACGAAGAACGGTGCTTAGCTTGGCAGCTTTGCTTGTCCGAATCTCGGTCGAGGACGCATAGAAGGAAGATTTCGAACCAGGGGCCTTGTGCCAATGATTTCGATTGGGAAGGTAAGCATGAATTCCGGGTTCACTCGCGCTATAACCACAAGGATTAAGGAGTTGCCACTGGAAATTGTGGTAGTGGTTTTGCAAGGAATGTTTCAAGAATGAAGGGCTGATGAATCGTCCCCCTCCTGAGCCACCGCCGAAGATGATGTTTGAAGCATGGATTCCGTTACTTTATCAGTTTATTTTATTAATTATCGTTTTATTCCACGGTCTGATTATTATTTTTGTTTTTACTCTTTCTTCTGCTGTAAAGCTCATGCATTAGGTTTGGGGTTGAGAGGTTTACGGTAATCGTCATTGGCTTTAATTTGCCGAAGTTAGGTCTAGCGAGTTATATTGCTTTCTCAAAGGGGATTAACCCAGAGTCTCGGTCAAGGGCGGATGGTTACTGATGAAAACGGTTAGCAACACAAGAGGGGGGGTGAATTGTGTGTGTGTGGAACCGTGGCAGTTTTTCGCCGAGTTCTAGTGTGGGATAAATGGAATTGCGAAATAGTAAAGTGCACAAGAATTTAACGAGGAAAAATCCCTTGGCTCAAAGGGATTAAAAAACCTCGACCTCCCTCGGAGGAATTTTAAACAACTTCACTAAACAAGCCTTTGAAAGAGTTACAAGAGTGATTCTCCTAATCTACCCTTGAGCCTCCCCAACTCTATCCTCTCTAGGAAGAGTTATGAATCTCTACCTTGCGGGTAGAGAGCCTCTCAGCTTTATCACAAAGCTCTCACACACACTTAACCCGAGGCAGCTACTCTAGCCAATTAAGCCTCAATATTCCAAGTACAATATGAAAGGGAAAAGAAAAACTCTATCTAGAATTCCGAGCGGGCAGTTTCAGGCGCCAAGGACTTGATCCTTTTCTTGAATGATTCTTCTAAGTATTTTTCTCGGTTCAGCACACTTCTCTCCTTTTGGTTGTTCGAATATATATGCTGCTTGGAATGAATCCGTTGGGGCTCACTTTCCTTGAGTAGATCAATTTTGAATTACCTTCCTTGGTTACCAATTTTTTATTTAGAGCAAGAGGTATTTCGTTAGTCAAAAAGATATCAAGAAATTAAGCACATTTATTATAGAGACTACCTTAACAAGGAAGTAGTTCATTTTCCTATTTAAGGAGAGCAACGGGTCATATTTAAAAGCCATCATTCCATTCAAAATATCTAGTCACGGATGGTAAGATATTAGGCTTTGATTGGTATAGTATGTCACGCCCCGGACCTCCCCGGGCACGTCGACAACCCGCCGTACAATACGAATAGTCAACCGCAGTCCAACACATTCATATTATACAAGGCGTCATGAATATCATTCACACACAAGTCATCCATAAACAACATAATAAGTAATTCATAAAGCAGCGGAAAACATTGTTTAAAACAAAAGGGCCACACAGGGCTATTCATGAGCACGCAGGCTCTATATTAAAATATCCATGAGCATGTTTATTAATGTTTAAAATCCGAATGGAGGAAGCACGAACCAAGTCTTCGCTCCTAGATGATCTCTCGAGCAACGAGCACAGGAAGCAAGCTCTAGCCTCAACCTGAAAAATGGTGGTGGGACGCCCCCGAAGGGGTCAGCACTCTATACGGCTATAAAGTGCTGGTGTGGCAGGCATCTAATAGATATACAACAAGTATTTCAAACACAAGACCCTCAAATAGGGTGATAGTACATTATGATTGTAACCCTAAGTTACCCCGTTTAAAAATATACTTACTTTATATAAAAGTCAAGTAGACGGCCCGTGGGCCCATGTTCATTTGGAAATCACCATTCCCAACCCCGTGACTATAAGCCACGACAACTCCTAGAGTCCAACCCTAGTACATGACATTGTATTCTAGAGCTCGGCTCTACCACATCACCATACAATTCATATACCTCGGGTCAATTTCCCTACCTTGCGTTCTAGAGCTCGGCTCTATCACATCACCACGCAAGTCCTAGAGCTCGGCTCTAGCTATTCAATACATAGACTCCAAGTCTACACCTTACATGCATTCTAGAGCTCGGCTCTATTACATCACCATGCATTAAGGTCCAATTCTCAAGCAACCCTATGCCTAGAATTGACATATCATTAAACTACTTTGGGTCATCCTTAAAGACTCCCCATAACTTAACCTTAGTTCCAAACTAAGTTATCATATACACTTGAACTATATTCAAGTACCTTTCATACCATCCAATCCCTAGGATCAATTTAATCAACAAGTCCCAATAATCACTAACTAGTATTTCAATACCATTAAGATTATTGTTATCATACCACTATCCTCCTTATTTGTAATTCTCTACATAATTATAATTATGTAGCAGCAACTTAAGTATTCAATCTCAATACACAAATATTCATTTATGTATCCAAATACTTCATACATGAGCAAATTACCTATTTCGCAAAAATAGTTCATTTATACTCATCAAATCTCATATTATCCATACATTCTCAAATCATTTCAAATTTCATTCTTTGGCAACTATATCAATATTTCATCAATATATGATCATCATAATCCATGAAAAATAATGATTTAAACATTTCGGTAATCTCATGCTTAACCTACAAGTTGTAAGCAATTAGATGTCAATCCTCACCTCAATTGAGCCTTAAACTTTCCCTTCTTGGTCCAATGGTCAAAGCTTCGGTCAAGGTGGATTTGGAACTGATTCCTTGCTCAAATATGATTGCTAAACAGCCTCTTCAAGGTGCTAGATCAACCCCTAAACGTTGGTACGAAAACAGCCCCTAGAATGGGTGTTTTCCGGCTAACTCGTTTCCTAGTTTTCCAAGATTTGTTCTAGGTTAGTATCTAACCTTTACATCAATAAAATAACTTTTCAAGGACATATTATACACTTGGATTAGTGTACAATAGTCCCACCAATCGTTCATATCATTTGGAAAATGAATGGAAAGGATTTGGGGTTAACAACTCACTTTAGAAGAGTAAATCCGTTTCTGCGAGGTTGTGTTTTGCTCGGACGATTTGGAAGCCTTCCTCTACTCCGATTGGTGCAAACCAGACCTTCACGGATTCCTCGTCTTGAGAGCTTTCTTTTGGTATCTCACACGCCTTAATTGGATTGGTAAAACTCGAGATATCGACCAAACAGTCTCAGCACTCTCACAGCTCGAGTTCACAGACCTCTGCTCGTTCCAGATCGATTTTTGGATGATTGCTCTCTCCTCTCGAACTGTGGCCACTCAAATATGAAAATAGACTTCAAAAGCTATCCAAAGACACCTTATACACCCCATTTGGACGAGTACAACTCTCAAAATGAAGGGAGACAAAACAGCACACCTGTTTGTGCGAAAACAGTGGTGGTGGCCCCAAGATTTGATCCCAATTGTGTCATGGGCAATGCTTCTCCATGTGGTGCGGCCAAGGTGAGTCTCCTCACATATTTTCCTTGTCTTGCAGGTACTCAAGCCACATGGGATGCCCCCCAATTAACCCCAATCAATTTTGGGGTCCAAAATATCTACCAATACTTCCAAAAATGGGAAGATGGGTCCTATTGTTTTATCTTTGTCAAAGATGTCTTTTTGTACTCATCCTAATTTATTTAGAACAAGTCAACTTCCTAAATCACATTATTGACCTCCAATATGTGTAGGCTCATCCCAATAATTTACTTGATGGAGGTTATAGAAGGAAAATCCTACTCCCATTATTTAGCTCAAAAATGCCAAAGATGGGGTTATAGGCATTTGTATTCTTCTTTAATCCTTCGATCACTTATTTAGATAATGTTGGGCTCTTTTATTTATTAATAAGTCCCGAGTAAGTATTTGCGAAACCCGACACTAATGTACGAGTTTGAACAGTACGATATTCAACCATGCACTACGTAGAACATTGATCGTTTTACAAAATGTTTGGGAATCAGAAATCCAATACATAAGCTTTGAATATTCAAATCAAATTTCCAAGGACATTCGGGTGCGGTGTCACAAGTTCACCCCCCCTTAACAGGAATTTCGTCCCCGAAATTCACAGCTCTACTCGAATAGGAAAGCATACTGCTTTCTCATCAAAGCCTCTGTTTCCCAAGTCTCTTCTTCGACCCGGTCACTCTTCCAAAGGACTTTAACCATTGGAACTTCCTTACTCCTCAGTTTCTTCACTTTTCTGTCAATAACTCTTACCGGTTGCACGGCATAGTTCAAATCTTCACGTACCTCCACGGGCGGCTTCTCCAACACGTGAGAAGGATCATGCACATACTTCTTAAGCATGGACACGTGAAATACATTATGAATCTTCTCCAACTCAGGAGTCAACTGTAGACGATATGCTACGGCCCCAACCCTCTCTATAATTCTGAATGGGCCTATATACCGTGGGTTAAGCTTTCCCCGGGTTTGGAATCGAATGATTCCTTTCCAAGGAGAAACTTTCAAGAATACCTCGTCATCAACCTTAAACTCTAAGGTTCTTCGTCGCTTATCTGCATAACTCTTTTGCCTATCCTGAGCCGCCTTGAGTCTCTCTCGAATCAACTTCACCTTTGACTTGGTGACCTCAACCAACTCAGTACCCTCGAGTTTGGCCATGCCAACCTCATCCCAGCATAACGGTGTACGGCACCTCCTCCCATACAATGCCTCGTATGGAGGCATGCCGATGCTTGCCTGATAACTGTTGTTATAGGCAAACTCCACGAGTGCTAAGTGGTTGTCCCAACTTCCTTGAAACTCCAATGCACAAGCCCTCAGCATGTCTTCTAAGATCTGTATGACTCTTTCAGACTGCCCATCCGTCTGTGGGTGGAAAGCAGTACTGAACTTCAGCCTCGTTCCCATAGACTCCTGAAATTTCGGCCAAAAACGTGATGTGAATCGTGGGTCTCTATCAGATACAATGGTCACTGGGACCCCATGCAGCCTCACGATCTCATCCGTATACAATTTGGCTAACCTCTCAAGTGGGTAGGTAGTGTTGATAGGCAAGAAGTGTGCACTCTTCGTGAGCCTATCCACAACAACCCAAACTGCATCATAGTTCCGAATTGTCCGTGGTAAACCTACCACGAAATCCATTGTCACATGTTCCCACTTCCATTCAGGAATGGAAAGTGGTTGTAACAAGCCTGCTGGATGCTGATGTTCTGCCTTAACTTGTTGGCAAGTAAGGCATCGACTGATATATTCGGCTATTTCTCTCTTCATACCTGACCACCAGTAACTCTCCTTCAGGTCACGGTACATCTTCGTGCCCCCCGGGTGCATGGCATAAGCCGATGAATGAGCTTCCTCTAAGATGGACTTTCGGAGCTCGTCATCTGCCGGTACACACACTCGGTCACGAAATAATAAGAGACCATCATCTCTTTCCCTGAAATCCTCCACCGGTCCCGCTTGCATGCGTTCCCGGATCTTCATAATTTCTTCGTCAGTTTCCTGACCCTTCTTGATCTCGTCAAGTAAAGTAGGTCTCACCTCAAATCGTGCCAATAAGGCACCATCGCTAGATACCTCCAGTTGGGCCCTTAATGCCCTCAAATTAGCTAGCAATGCCCCAGACGAGCTCTTCCGGCTCAAAGCATCTGCCACCACGTTTGCCTTGCCGGGGTGATACTCTATCACTAGATGGTAGTCTTTTATCAACTCCATCCACCGTCTCTGTCTCATGTTTAGCTCTTTCTGAGTAAACACGTACTTCAAGCTCTTGTGATCAGTGTATATGTGACATGTCTCCCCGTAGAGATAATGTCTCCATATCTTTAGTGCAAACACCACTGCCCCCAGCTCCAAATCATGAGTAGGATAATTCACCTCATGCTTCTTCAATTGTCGTGAAGCATAGGCAATTACCCTCCCATTCTGCATCAGTACACATCCAAGCCCTTGGATGCTCGCGTCGCTATAGACATCGTACCCCACACCTTGTTTGGGTAATGCAAGTACCGGTGCCTCAGTCAATCTCTTCTTTAGTTCCATGAACCCTTTCTCACATTTGTCATCCCATACAAACTTAGCTCCTTTACGGGTGAGCTTCGTCAATGGCGATGCCAAAACAGAGAACTTCTCCACGAACTTTCTGTAGTAGCCTGCCAATCCAAGGAAACTACGAATTTCCTTGACGTTCTTTGGCCTCTCCCATTCAGTAATGGCTTCTATCTTCTTGTTATCAACAGCAATTCCCGATCCCGAAACCACGTGCCCGAGAAAGCCGATTTCCTTTAGCCAAAATTCACATTTAGAAAATTTGGCATAAAGTTGCTTCTCCCGTAGTGTCTCAAGAACAAGTATCAAGTGCTCTTCATGCTCTTCTTCACTCTTTGAGTAAATCAAGATGTCATCTATGAACACAATCACGAATCGGTCCAAGTATTTATGAAATACTCGGTTCATCAAGTCCATGAATGCCGCCGGGGCGTTTGTTAGCCCAAACGACATAACAAGGAATTCAAAATGCCCATACCTTGTGCGGAAGGCACTCTTTGGTATGTCATCTTCCTTAATCTTCAATTGATGGTACCCCGACCTCAAGTCAATCTTCGAGAACACGGTTGCTCCTCGTAGTTGATCAAACAAGTCATCAATCCTAGGCAACGGATACCTATTCTTGATTGTGACCTTGTTCAGCTGACGATAGTCAATGCACATTCGAAGTGTCCCGTCTTTCTTTTTCACAAAAAGAACCGGTGCTCCCCACGGGGAGTGGCTTGGTCTAATGAAACCATTATCCAAAAGCTCTTGCAATTGGGTTTTCAACTCGTTAAGTTCAGCGGGTGCCATACGGTATGGCGGTATGGAGATCGGTTTGGTACCAGGCTCGACCTCGATCACAAATTCAATCTCCCTATCAGGTGGAAGCCCCGGTAGGTCTTTAGGGAAGACATCCGGGTACTTACAAACCACCCTCACGTCGTCCATGTTCGTTTCCTCCTTGGTTTTGTCAACCACGTATGCTAGGTATGCGTGGCATCCCTTTCTCATCATACTTCTCGCTCTCACGGCGGAGATAATACAGCTGTTTGATTTACCTCGATCCCCCTCGAAGCGTAGGGTGTCCCCATTATTGCCTTCGAGTTCCAAAACCTTTGTGTAGCAATCTACCCTAGCATGATGCTTTTCTAGCCAATCCATCCCTAGGATTGCATCGAACTCCATCATACTCAGCGGTACGAAATCACACGTCAAGGTTTGGCCATCAATTTCCACCTCACAAGATGGATAACAACTAGTTCTTTCGACGTCATCCCCTAGTGGTGTCGATACCACTAATGTGTGCGTCATTGGTATTGATTGTACCCCTAAGTCCTCGGCGAACGCCTCACTCACGAACGAACGTTGCGCTCCGGTATCGATAAGGATTCGTGCATCCTTCCCATTAATCTTTAATGTTCCTACATTTACACACCATGTAAGATACATTTCCTAATGGTTTAGGACACTTTTTAGGAGGTTAATAGGTTCATATAAATGTTCGGAATCAAACGGGGGTCCAATCGTAGAAGAACGAGATGAAAAACGTAGGTTTCGGGCGGCTGGGGTCCACGCACGGTCGTGCGTGGGACACGCACGGTCGTGCGTGCATGGAAGAATTCGCTTCCGGCTACTGCCGGTTACGCACGGTCGTGCGTACCCGGACACGCACGATCGTGCGTCCACGCACGGCGTGCGTACCGGCACGCACGGTCGTGCGTCCTGCGCGAACATCACCCGGAACCACTGCCCCCTACGCACGATCGTGCGTGGGGTTGGACGCACGATCGTGCGTCCCTGTTTTTTGGTCAGTTCTGGCCCGAATTTCGCCGTTTGACCCCGTAATGGCTCGCACTCAATCCCTATGACTTATGTCATCAATTTATGGATTAACTATGGACAAAATACAATTGTGCAAGAGGCAATACCTGCAACCGAGTCCGGGTTAGCTCGAGCATCCGCCTCCGTCATCGCATAAACTCTAGCTTGAGTTCTTCCTTGATTCACGGATGGCGCGTTGCTCGCACTCGCTCCCCCATGTCCCCGGCTCGCTTGAGAAGCTCCGGTTTGATTCCGTGTACCCGTCGGGCCACTGCTCGGTCCCGATGTCCTTGTCCCACCCAATTGTGGGCAATGCGCCTTCAAATGCCCGGCATCCCCACATTGAAAACATCTAGGGGGGTCGCGACATTTACCGGAGTGGTTCCTCTTGCAATTGTTGCAACGAGTTACCACCGAGGTTTGTGACCTCGAGCCTTGCCCACTCGGGCCTTGATTCCCCCTAGACGGTGGCGGCGGTGCCCGGAAAGATCCTCCTCCATGGTTCCCCTTTTTGTTGGAACCTTGGGAGCCATGACTCTCCCATTTTCTCTTTTTCGCCTCCTCGGCGTCTCTCTTCTTCCTCTCCTCCCACTGTTTCTCCCCCTTCAACGCTTGGTCAACCACTTGGGCGAAGGTCATATTAGGCAATTGTGTTGCCCTATCACGTATCTCCAAGTCAAGAGCATCCCAAAAGTGGTTTACCATTCGGTTCTCGTCACAAGCATACTCCGGTATGTAGTCGGCGAGATCCCGGAACTTGTACTCAAGTTCCTTCACTGTCATGTTACCTCCTTGGGTCAGGAGGGTGTATTCCCTCACCTTCTTGTTCACCTCAAAATCAGAATAATATTGGGCAAAGAACTCCCGTTGGAAGTCCTCCCAAACGACGGTCTCACCGTACTTGCTCTTGGTTCCATCCCACCACTTGGATGCCATCCCCTCGAGCAATCTTACCGCAATTCTCAGTTTGAGATTTGGCGCGATTTGCATGTCAAGGGCTGCTTCATTTAGCCTCTTAATCCATTGTGCTGCAACTGAAATGTCCCCTGCTCCATCAAAGGGTTTGCACCCCAAATCTCTTGCTTCTTTGATAAATTTGGAGATCCTTATGGTTGGACCTCCATCATTTTGGCCTCCATGTGGTTCCACATGGACTCTAGATGCACCATGACTTCCTCCTCTCGAAGCCATGCCCGAAGGTTGCCCCGCTCGCCGTCTTCGGCGTTGCCTCCTTTCCTCGCGCTCCCGTTGATATTGTTGGAGCAGCGCCTCAATTCTTGCTAGGGAGTCATTCTCCCCCTCTTCATCACTTACATCATCGTCATCCCCTTCGTAAGGGGTCTCAACCGGCTCGGTCTCCGGTTGGTAAGTCGAGTCCTCATAGGACCAGTAGGTTTCACTTTCTGTGTCAACATGACCGTCACTCACGGTCTGTGATCGGCCTCCACGGCCAGCTCCTCTAGATGCCCTAGAGGTCCTTCGACTGCCCTGTCCAGTCTCCACTGGTACACGGCCCGTCGGGTTTCTCCTAGTAATCCTGCCACCACGGTCCATTTCTGAAAGAAATTTGGAAAGAGTCATTAGACTCGTATCAAATGTCAATTGACGGATAGGTACTTAAGACACACTTGGCTCGAGTCACCGCCATACCAATTGCTAAGGGTACCATCTTAACAATTAGAGACCTTGCAACCCAAGTACCAAAAGCTCTCCAAGTACAAAACTTCTATGCTCATGGTTTTCAAAATCTTTTCAAAAAAGAATTTTGAGACTTCATTATGAAGTTTATGAACCTGGCTCTGATACCAACTTAATTGTCACGCCCCGGACCTCCCCGGGCACGTCGACAACCCGCCGTACAATACGAATAGTCAACCGCAGTCCAACACATTCATATTATACAAGGCGTCATGAATATCATTCACACACAAGTCATCCATAAACAACATAATAAGTAATTCATAAAGCAGCGGAAAACATTGTTTAAAACAAAAGGGCCACACAGGGCTATTCATGAGCACGCAGGCTCTATATTAAAATATCCATGAGCATGTTTATTAATGTTTAAAATCCGAATGGAGGAAGCACGAACCAAGTCTTCGCTCCTAGATGATCTCTCGAGCAACGAGCACAGGAAGCAAGCTCTAGCCTCAACCTGAAAAATGGTGGTGGGACGCCCCCGAAGGGGTCAGCACTCTATACGGCTATAAAGTGCTGGTGTGGCAGGCATCTAATAGATATACAACAAGTATTTCAAACACAAGACCCTCAAATAGGGTGATAGTACATTATGATTGTAACCCTAAGTTACCCCGTTTAAAAATATACTTACTTTATATAAAAGTCAAGTAGACGGCCCGTGGGCCCATGTTCATTTGGAAATCACCATTCCCAACCCCGTGACTATAAGCCACGACAACTCCTAGAGTCCAACCCTAGTACATGACATTGTATTCTAGAGCTCGGCTCTACCACATCACCATACAATTCATATACCTCGGGTCAATTTCCCTACCTTGCGTTCTAGAGCTCGGCTCTATCACATCACCACGCAAGTCCTAGAGCTCGGCTCTAGCTATTCAATACATAGACTCCAAGTCTACACCTTACATGCATTCTAGAGCTCGGCTCTATTACATCACCATGCATTAAGGTCCAATTCTCAAGCAACCCTATGCCTAGAATTGACATATCATTAAACTACTTTGGGTCATCCTTAAAGACTCCCCATAACTTAACCTTAGTTCCAAACTAAGTTATCATATACACTTGAACTATATTCAAGTACCTTTCATACCATCCAATCCCTAGGATCAATTTAATCAACAAGTCCCAATAATCACTAACTAGTATTTCAATACCATTAAGATTATTGTTATCATACCACTATCCTCCTTATTTGTAATTCTCTACATAATTATAATTATGTAGCAGCAACTTAAGTATTCAATCTCAATACACAAATATTCATTTATGTATCCAAATACTTCATACATGAGCAAATTACCTATTTCGCAAAAATAGTTCATTTATACTCATCAAATCTCATATTATCCATACATTCTCAAATCATTTCAAATTTCATTCTTTGGCAACTATATCAATATTTCATCAATATATGATCATCATAATCCATGAAAAATAATGATTTAAACATTTCGGTAATCTCATGCTTAACCTACAAGTTGTAAGCAATTAGATGTCAATCCTCACCTCAATTGAGCCTTAAACTTTCCCTTCTTGGTCCAATGGTCAAAGCTTCGGTCAAGGTGGATTTGGAACTGATTCCTTGCTCAAATATGATTGCTAAACAGCCTCTTCAAGGTGCTAGATCAACCCCTAAACGTTGGTACGAAAACAGCCCCTAGAATGGGTGTTTTCCGGCTAACTCGTTTCCTAGTTTTCCAAGATTTGTTCTAGGTTAGTATCTAACCTTTACATCAATAAAATAACTTTTCAAGGACATATTATACACTTGGATTAGTGTACAATAGTCCCACCAATCGTTCATATCATTTGGAAAATGAATGGAAAGGATTTGGGGTTAACAACTCACTTTAGAAGAGTAAATCCGTTTCTGCGAGGTTGTGTTTTGCTCGGACGATTTGGAAGCCTTCCTCTACTCCGATTGGTGCAAACCAGACCTTCACGGATTCCTCGTCTTGAGAGCTTTCTTTTGGTATCTCACACGCCTTAATTGGATTGGTAAAACTCGAGATATCGACCAAACAGTCTCAGCACTCTCACAGCTCGAGTTCACAGACCTCTGCTCGTTCCAGATCGATTTTTGGATGATTGCTCTCTCCTCTCGAACTGTGGCCACTCAAATATGAAAATAGACTTCAAAAGCTATCCAAAGACACCTTATACACCCCATTTGGACGAGTACAACTCTCAAAATGAAGGGAGACAAAACAGCACACCTGTTTGTGCGAAAACAGTGGTGGTGGCCCCAAGATTTGATCCCAATTGTGTCATGGGCAATGCTTCTCCATGTGGTGCGGCCAAGGTGAGTCTCCTCACATATTTTCCTTGTCTTGCAGGTACTCAAGCCACATGGGATGCCCCCCAATTAACCCCAATCAATTTGGGGTCCAAAATATCTACCAATACTTCCAAAAATGGGAAGATGGGTCCTATTGTTTTATCTTTGTCAAAGATGTCTTTTTGTACTCATCCTAATTTATTTAGAACAAGTCAACTTCCTAAATCACATTATTGACCTCCAATATGTGTAGGCTCATCCCAATAATTTACTTGATGGAGGTTATAGAAGGAAAATCCTACTCCCATTATTTAGCTCAAAAATGCCAAAGATGGGGTTATAGGCATTTGTATTCTTCTTTAATCCTTCGATCACTTATTTAGATAATGTTGGGCTCTTTTATTTATTAATAAGTCCCGAGTAAGTATTTGCGAAACCCGACACTAATGTACGAGTTTGAACAGTATGATATTCAACCATGCACTACGTAGAACATTGATCGTTTTACAAAATGTTTGGGAATCAGAAATCCAATACATAAGCTTTGAATATTCAAATCAAATTTCCAAGGACATTCGGGTGCGGTGTCACATAGTATCCTTCCATAAATGGAGCAAGTATTTATTCAAATTATGTGATATTTCAAAAAGTATCTTTCCTCAAATCATGCCACGTTCATTAGTTGTTTGAAAACAATTGCTTTCCTTAAAAGTGTATTAATTAAAGACCTTTTCCATAAGGATATTTCATTAGTATTTTTCCTTTTTAATTTATGCAAGCCAATAGTCTCATAATAATGTTACGTAATCATGCATGTACGTAGATATAACTAAATCACAAATAGCATAGAGTAGTTCTAACACAGGTCCATTAATGAGCTCGTACTAGGCAACCTGCTCGGTTAGAATTAGGATAGTTCTTTCCTTGGTTCCAGTCAGGTTAGTCATCAACAAAACTAATTAATCAACAGTTACATATGGTCCTTTTACGTTCTTGTACCCCTGTTGAATGCTATTTTAATGATATAAGCACCTTTCGATAAAAAAATAAATCAAAATGAAAGATAACAAAGTTTTGCAGAGAGAGGAGTAATTTAGGAGTAATTTTTACGGAATACTAAGAGCATCTTTAATGGTATTGTGAATTGCTCCTAATGCATTGCCAACTCACGTTCACCATAAAATTATGTCTCCATCGGCATTGTGAATCGCAGCTGTGGTGATGACTTGGCATGAAAATAAATGCACACCGTCGAGCTCTCCTTCTACTTGTAGAGGGCGTGTCTCACATGCTGACTCAGCAAAAGAATGGTTTACGGAGTAACATACGGAGTACCAGTAAAACAAACCCTCTCCTTCCCATCCACCAAGGCTACCGTACCGCCGTACCGCCGTACCCCCTACCGAGCTATAGCCTGCAATAGTAACCAAATGCAACAACTAGCGGCCACTATGTAGTAGCCCCTATATGATGCGGCGGCGAGGCGGCGGCAACAGCGGGCAACTATTTTTCTCCAACTCGTTTTATTTTCCGGCAAGTGAAACCGGCGGGCTGTGTTTCTCTTTTCTCCGCCGTTTCTTCTTTTGTTGTCACTCGTTTCTCCTTCGGCAGCCCAACACCGTCTGCCAATAAGCTCAAGATTATTTAATTATTATTGTCATCATTTTCCTCTAACAGAGTGATGGCCGGGTTGCAGGGTTGGGCTCTATATTTTCAATGAGCTCAAGATTACTACTACCTACGTACTTCCAACACCGTTTGAAAATGTTACGTTCTACATGAACACATACATATATAACACACACACACACATCGCACACACGAGTTGTGGCCCACTCAAGAGATCAGAAGTTAATTGTTCAGTTGTTGGGTGTTTTTGCAACTTACTTTGGACAATTGGACGGGAAAAGGTGGGATGATGATGACGGTTTTGAATCTGCGCTTCTTCTTCTCCTTGGCCGAGACTGGTTTTTTGTGTTCTAGTCTTCTTTATGTTAAGGAGCACTTGAAAGAAATATGTGACGAGTCGTAAGTTAGGTATGAGCAGTAAATTAAATGCTTTTATTATCCTTTTATTTTTCATTTAGAAAATGCATACAAGAAAAATGAAGACTCAGTTGGAGATGAGATGTAGTTTTGATGGTCTGTCCGTCCACATCACCTTCACGTTCAATTCATATGGGTGACATGTCCATTTTTTACGGGGCGCAATCCACTTTTCTATTGGAGATGCTCTAAGTCTGCTATTGTTAGGAATGCGACGATTAACCCTATATAGGTGTAAAATTACTCCTAAATGCAAAATTGGTGTAATATATGTCCATCTTCTTATATTTCTTCTTCTTATAATCCGTGATAGATTTATTTTATTAATACTCCGTAAAAAAAGAATTTGTAGGCCTCTGCCGCTACATTACATGTGCCTTGTTCTTAATTCTTATTAGTTCCCTGGCCATGGAGATTTTTTTAGATTTTTGTACTAATTTTTTCACTTCTTCATCTTTAACAAAATTAGAAGTCCTTGTTTGTTACTTTTTGAGTCTTATATTTTGGTCATATTACGAAACGATGCACATTCTGGTCAACCAGTTTTGGGTCAATTGCTCTTTATCATTTTGTATAGATTTCAATCTCCTGACCAATTTTGATCAATTTTGTTAGTCAGTTCATTAGTTTTTGAAGTCTTAAAAACTGGCAGCTTAATCACAAGTCGTGACTCCTGACCAATAATTTGTTGTGCTCGGTGAATGACATATAATGTACACTTCGAGTTTTAATCTCACTAGAGAACAATAAGAGCCTTTAAAAGACGATGATTAGACCCTTATTCAACTTCTAACTCTGGAGATAAAAATTCTGATTACTCTGTCTATGAGGTTTCACTGTACAACTGTACCACCTTTTTATATCTTGGTCGCAAGAAAATGATTCTTCACGAGGCATGGTGGGTGTAAGTGGAAGTTGCCATCTATTCTCGCTTGTCCTCTTCGAGATCCTCTCGTTCTGCTATGTGGTCGGTTGAGGTGGACCCCTTCTTTTCCTTCCTTTCAAACTTTGTTCCGGAATCGCCAACTACCCTCACCGCGCTTGTCAGTGAAATAGCCTCTTCATCTAAGTCATCTACGGTCTCCCCAGAGTATGCATATCTAAAGTTCAGTGAGAGAATTAGCTTTCGAATATAATATCACCTAGCATGCATAATAAGACAATATTACTGATTTACACTTAGGTTTTCTGTTTATGTTGATCCCGTTGCAGAAGTAATACTCCCCTATTTCAAAATTATTGTCCCGTTAAAGAAAAACTTGCACTATGTAGTTTATGAGGTAATACTTAATTTTTTCATAAATTAATGAACATAGGTCAATTGATTTCTAGGTATTAAAAGCAAACAAAAGAGAAATACATAGGGCAGGCAACTTGGTCATTTTATTATGGAATATGTTTAACTTTATTGGATTGCAAAAGGTGTGTTTGGATCTTGGAAAATACTAGGGAAAAGAAAACAAATGCTAAAGGAAGGGTATTTTCTTTTGTTATGTTTTAGTGTTTTACCTCAGAAAATGTAAAAGAAATGAAATATAGTTAATGCTTTGAATGTTTTATTATATATGTTTAGAGCTCCAAGTCTTTATATAATAGAAATGCATAGATACAAACAGTTAGAACAAACATCACAAATAAAATTTGTTGAGAACTTGAGATTATGCCAATGTTTACTTCCCCTCGCCTTTTAATTCCTTCCAAAGTTCCTCTATAGTTCCCACCCTATTTTCTTTCTCTAATACTTTCTGGGTTCCAAGATGATCAAAGTACACTTAGATTATGGCCAGTATTTAAGAAAGGAAGGAATACACTGTTTGTCTGGAGATATGTAATTTAGAGCAGTACAAAAGCAGCAAATGATAGTTACAGGGACACCAGAAAAACAAACTACAATTGGTTGACATTATTCATTTACATGAAACCACTGATAAGAAAGCGACAGAAATGGTGTAGGTAGGAAACTGCACAAGCAAGTCAAGTTCTGGGTTTTGTTTTCTACCCAGCATGTCTGATGTTCATTGCTAATTTGCTACGTCTATCTTATGAAGTAAAGAAACTTAGCTCCCAGGAAGGAGCATATGTTTAACTTGGTTATTATTTTCACATCACTGAGGGATGGAGCAAGGGATTGACACAGCCACACAGGGTGAGCCGTGAGCCTGACTAAAAGTTTAGACAGATTCATTCATATAAAAATTTAATAGTAAAAACGTTTAAAAACTCAAATGCTTTTAAAATTTAGGACACAAGTATTTCAGACCCTTTTCCATCATTTGCAATGGAGCCAAAGATTCATTATTTTTTGGCTTGAGAATATGATGGAATAAAGCAAAATGGCTCACCAAACTGTCTGCGCTTCTTTGTTATGAAGCAGCAGTCAGTCAATGCAATTTTTGGACGCGATTTTCATTATGGGTCATACGGAAACAGTCTCTCTGCGCTTTAGTACAGGGGTAAGACTGCGTACATCCGACCCCCCCCTTACCCCACCATAGGTGGGAGCCTTTGCGGCACTGGGGTAAATGATGATTGATGATTGATGATTGAAGTATTTCAGACCTATCCAATTGGTCTGACCACTTTTGTTTCAAAGAGAAATGTTGAAACAGTAACGGGGGTGGGCCGGGGCTTAGTGAAGCCCCCTAAAATTACAGTACTGATTAGCGGGAGAAATATGAAGCAAATAATTTCAGTGGTGACTCATTTGTATGAACAGGAAATAGACCAAGCATCTCCAAGATTCATTTAAAGGTGATATTAATTATCAAGAAATTGAGTTGGTTTTTATCCCGAGTCCTGACATGATCAATTTATTCACGACAAATTAG